ATCGAAAAAGAACAAGAACATAAAAAAAATGCAGATATATTATTTCTGGTGTGTGGTGGACGCCACCAACAGCATGGCGCTTTCCATGGCTTCCTGCCACATCAATTAATGAAGTGGAGCTCATTGAGGATGCCATGATCCCTATTGAGGTCGCCATGTACCAGACATGCAGAAAAAAATGGAAATAGAACAAGACTCATTCGGCACCTCCCTATATTCTCTCAACTATTTTGTGCATGTTCAGAAGCCTTTCTCCAGACTGTTACATTATATAGGGCAAGTTTATTTGTTTTTAGTTATCCATGAATGTATGTGATGCTCTGCCGAATTTAAAAGCTAGTCTTTGATCATTTGTAAGAATTGAATTATAATCTTGTCATCATTAGTGAAAGGATTCTAGTTTCTTTATTCCCATCTTTACAGGTTCTATTTATTGCTTTATAATATTGTTATTGTTGCTTTAGTTACCATGTCTTTTTTCATTGCAACTGTTATATTTAATTCATCTTTAACTAGTAGTATGTTTAGCTAAATAATTTTGAGTCTGGTATGTGAGGACCGTCGTTTCCAACGGGAGTCGGTAACGAAGTTGGCTTAAACATTATTTAAATTCTATTTTGGTCTTTGTTTCTAAAATTAATTCAAATGGTTTGTTACAAGAGTGAAAATTACTTAAGGTTCGAGTCAGCACCGCGAAAGCGTGGGAGTCGAAGAAAATAGTAGGAACGGGGCATCGATCCTAAAGAGGGAGAGAGCGCTTTAGGTGTCGATTAGGACTTGTTCATTTTTCAAAACATGTTTCTTAATTGAGATGAGCGAGCGAGAGAAAAATCCCATGTATAAGGAACGTGACTTTATTCAATAGCGCGAGAGTGTGAGGGTTAGTCTTTAAACTGACGTTTTCTACTAAATAAGTTTTTAACATCTGTATAAGCCAACAAGTTACAGGATCCCTGAGGTACGTGGAATACACATTTCGGTCTCTCTCTTCATCGTCATATTTTCTAAATTCGTTTAGTTCTAGTTTTAATTCTGTTTAACCATAGAAATCATTCGCTTTACCTTTACATAGTAACAATTGATAACATTAGTTTGATTATTAGTCTCTGTGAATTTGATATCTTTTAAAAGTACGCGATAGGTTGTGCACTTACAATTAGTTAATGTGATAGAATCTTAAATTCACGATAACTTCTCTAACACTATTCATTATGGTCAACACATTCTCAAATAAAAAACCACATCATATAAATTTTGAGAAATATTCCTTATCTAACTAATATATGACTTCCCTCTTCCTCAATTCTATACATTAATTATAAACTTTCATCTTCTTCCTTTTTATCACCAACTCATTCTATAACATAAAATCATAACATATAAATTTTGAGCAACATTACTTGCCTAACTGGTGTAAAACTTCCCCCATCCATTTTGTTCTCACTCATATATATGAAATTTTGAGTTTGAATTTGTCAATTTTTATGTTCAATTTCTTTGAATTTTCCTTCATATCACAGTTTACATTATTTATTTATTTATTTATTTTGCAATCGGTTAAAGCTTACAACGATATTTATGAGAAAGGATTCACGACTTCGTTGGTGTTTTGAATTTGAAATCATTAATTTGTGTCTTATTGTGATCTTGCAAGTTTGTGAAAAAGATACTTAAGTGTTCTACTTTGTCTTTTTTTTTTATTTTGATTCAAATTTTATTTAGTTTTTTGCATAGATGGCGTTGTGAATAATTGATAGAATAATTTAAAGTAATTAAAAAAGAATTATTCAAAGTTATGGCATAAAGTAACACAATAACCTTCTAAAAAGTGAAAGTAAAACCACAATAAGGTAGAAGAAGAAAAAAAAACAATACATTAATTATTTTATTCAGTTCAATTAAACGATCTACTATGGGGTCGGGAGTTTTTCTCGGATTCACTATACTTACAAAAATTATTACAAGATATTAAAACAAAGTACAAGAAAAAATTCATTTGAGTTGCCATAAACAAAATATTTCTCAATCTCTATAACTCTCAATATATGAATTACACAAGTCTAAAGTGTTGGGTGAGAATATGGACACAAAGAGATCTAGAAGGGGACATTGAATAGACCATTTTCCTTTAAGACATTTTTCAAAATATTTTAGGTTCTATATACGAAATTAGATATTTGAAGAAGTGAAGAATCAAAGTAGAAAAACAAGAGAGCTCAGAAGCATCTTAATGAATAAATCAAATAAAATAATGCATGATGTTGCTAAGTACTTGATTGATTCTAATGAAAGTCAATTACAAGACAACCAAAGTCGCTTTAAATGAAGTGATTCAAAAACTCTTTACATAAATGTTCTATCAAGACATAATTGGATTCATTATGATTCAATAAGATTGATACACCACAAACCTAAGCTTATACATTAAATCTCTATAAGCATGGTCTAACTTAAATGGCATACATTCAATGCAATAATTCACTAATACATTAGAAAAATTAATGAATATTAGAAAGTTAAAAATGATAAGGGAAGAATAAAAGATACACAGAGATATATAGCGGTTCGGCATTCGTCCTTTCTTTGCCTACTCCAATATTCAAAAGTGTTAAAAACCATTGGAAAATAATCACAATCTTCCACTCTTTTGATAAGTTTGATACAAGTACTTTGGTTACAACAAACTAGCAATTGACAATTCCTTTGTTGATGCAGGCATTCAAACTTCCAACAAAAATAAGATCTCTAAAAGATCTTGATCCATAACCTTCTTAACTACAATAACCTGCTCCAAGTATTCGTATGTGGCAATCCACTTGATGCCATCAATTTCCTCTCCGAGCGATGGCCATTAGCTAAGCGTTGATTGGACAACTTCCAACTTTGTCTATGAGTAATATTTCTCCAACTCTACCAAAGATGGATAACTTTCACGTCTATCTTATGGACAGTTGATACTTGATCTCACCAAAGTCTTCCTTTGAGTATACTGAAACTCTCTTTTTGATGGATAACACAAATATCAAACTACATTCAAGAAATGATATACGTACTTGTAACAAGCAAGAAACTTCACAAAAAACATTAGATACCCTAATGTACCACAAGTATCCCTCAACACTCAATATTTAGAGGTGAAGGTCCATAAAAATGGAAAATGACTAAGGATAAAGATGATGAACAGTGCCAGATTATCTCACAAACACTCTAAAACACAAGGTATTAGTCAAAGGATTAGATGAATATGAATGAAGAACACACGCACAAGGTTCTCTCAAATTTCTGTATGGGTCTTGGTTCTTCATTGTTATCATGAGATTGATTAATCATGAATAGCATAACTAGATTAATCAACTAACTCTCTCCAATTCACTCAAAACAATAACAAATTGCACAAGAACAAGATGCAACAAAAAGAAGTGAATCTGACATTGATTACACTCAAGAGGTTGTTCTAGAGAATAATAGAAAGATTCATGGTGATATATATAGACACGCTAAGAAGAGAAGACAAATATATATCTTTGTCTCTATGGGTTTCACCCATATGTTTCACACACTTTTTGCTTTCACCAAAGAAACAACTATTTAAACCAAGGATGAAAATGGGTCTTGTGAAGCTTTGACTTGAATCAAGAAGAAATTGGGATTCAAATCAATTCTAGTGGAGCCCAAATGAGGCTTTATGAAGGCATTTGATTCAAAATGAGATTTTCACTTGATTTGAATCACATGAAGTTGTGATTCAAATCATGTTCATTTTGTGATTCGAATCAAAATGTCAAAGGAAATTCCCAATTTTCACAAGGCTTCTGATTCGAATCATGATTAACACTTGATTCTAATCAAGTAACTCAACATCTATATTTAACATCTCTAACTTTTGATTCAAGCCACGCATGATGAAGTGAAAAATGAGCAATTTACTAGGCTAAAAAAGAAACAATATCATGGAACAAAACACTCTTATTAAATAGAGTAAAAAGGGTTCTTAGTGGTACAACAACACAATAGCTGAAGAGATTATAATACAATTGAAATACGAATAAAGTACATGCACATGAATATTAAATGAGAAGCAAATTACAAATATGCAAATAGACTAAAACAACTACATCTAAATTGACAAAATAAATAAATAAATAAATAAATCATAACATACGATACTGTGATTGCACTTTTAGTCTCCCCCTTTTTGATGCTTGGCAAATTTGATATATTATTGTTGACCAATTGTTCAAAGCAACATTTGGAATTTGATGGATGAAAAGAATTTGGTGAACTAGTGTACAATACTTTACTTGAGTTGTAAAAGTTGTAAAACTCCCCTGCATTAAACACTTGATGCACACGAATATTGATAATATCGCGATACATTCTCCTCCTTTGACCAATATCTAAAAGAGAGAAAAGATAGAGAGAGAGCCCACATAAATAGTTAAATCAAAGATAAAACAAAATCCAAAAATAGAATGTGATACGTAGTGAACTAAACAAGCACCATATAAATCTCATATGAAATTAATTATCACAATTATGAAATTTAATAAAGATATTAAGAAAAAGATAGCATAGAGTGAATCACAGAGATATCATACATATGTGACTAAAAGACGTGTCACAAGATACATAACCCAAAATATAGTCAAAGGTCAAAAAATAACCAGTCAACCAAAATGGCTTAAATATCCATATATGTTGATGTTATGCTATGCATGAAAAATTAAAAAATATCATGGAATGGTAGTTGCATCATCAAAAGGAGGTGCAGCAGCTGTGACATCTGGAATAGGAATAGTGGGTTATGCATCAATATCATAAGGACCAATATTAAGTATGACATTAGATCTACCCAGGTAGTAAATGATAGCTCTCACAAAATCCACTTGAGCAGAAAGTAGATCTTCACCGGCTTGCATCTCAACCTTCAACTCACTCTTCAACTTCACTCTATTGTCTTTACATTCCTTAGCCACATAGTTAATACGCTCCATGATCCTCTATTCCCTAATCTGGTTTTCAACCAAAATCTTCTCAACCATCTCATCAAGATAAGTCTTCACATCAACAGATAAGAATCCAAAAGAGGATTCACTTGTCTCATTAGAAGGATCCTTAATAGGCTCCACAATCTTGTCATCATATACCTTCCTGCCAGATTTCTCAAGATAATAGTACATGCCATCGGTGTCCCTGTAGTACCTCATCATGGAAACTCCACATTCATCCAAAATCTTCGGAGCTTCGACCAAGTCCTCTTCCTTGGACTTAATACCATTAATCTTTAAAATCATATGTACAAAAGAGAAGTAAAAAATAGGCTTATTTGGGTTTTCCTTGTAGAAGAGCATTCGTTCAATGATGAACTCTCCCCAATTAATCCAAGAGTTAAAATAATCACATGAGGTAGAAGTCAAAGTTGTCGGCTCTACCCCTAATTTCTCAGTTTCCTATAGAGCACCTTAACAACTATCAAGTGCAACATTCTCATTTTAAACTTCATTTGACTAATAGTAAAGTTTGACATACCAATATTCTCAACAAAATATTTAGAAATTGACAAAACAAAACGGACTTTATCATACTCAGGTGACCTAGCATCAGAGATACTTGCACCAAACAAAGTCAAACCAAGATATCTAGTAAAATTACCATAAGAAAATTTCAAAACATGATCTTTAGATTTGCTTTTAATTCCTGCAGTGGTTCACTCAACATTTCAATAAAATGCCTTGCCATGATCAACGTTAAATTTATTGCTTAAGCCAATAAACTTTAACAAATTAGAGTCAGCAAAGGGTTTGAGGAATTTCACTCTCAACTCAGTCTTAGAGGTGTTATCAACATAATATTATGGCTCAACAGGCTTGTTTAAAAATTTCTTATGATAAACTTTCAGACAGTCCTCAGGAGGAAGATGAATTACCTCGTCGTACATGACAGAGATAGTTTAAGTCTGAGGAGTTTTCTTACTTGAATTTTTTCTCAGTTGGCCATTCGAAGAATTCTTTCTTGCTCTAACTTTTGTCACTGCCTTTTTTTGAAATTAAGGAAGAGATGGGTTTGATGAAGACATTGGTCCTTTTCCATGTTGCTTGTTAGAGAAACTCTTTTAAGGAAGATAAGAGGCTATTGTTGATGTTAATGAGAATAGGTTTTTGGGTGATGGAGTGAAGATGATGATGATTGATGAAGATGAATGATGGGATGAATGTTTTATGATGATGTTATGAGATGATTGTGAGTTTCTCTTAAAAGGGTTTTGGTGGCTTGAAATAGAAATGAAATGAGAATGAAAGAGAAAGAGCAAAAACCAAATGAAATTCAAAAATAAAAGTGACTTTTGAGTTTGTGATTAGAATCAAGTGTAAAACCTAATTCAAATCACGGGTTTTATTTTTTAAGAGAAAAGCACTTTGACTCGAATCAAGTGCAATGGCTGATTCGAATCAAATCGAGCAGCCCCTAAATGTTTTTAAGTTCCAGACTTTTGATTCGAATCAGGTTCAAAGGAAAAAAATACTTGATTTGAATCAAGTAGTTATTTTTTATAATAAAAAAAACTTGAGGAAATAAGTTTTTCAAATTCAGTTGATTTTAATGATGAAAAATATCTTTAATGCAAATGAAAAATGAACTTTAATGTCATGCATGAATGTAATGAAGAATGGGTCATTTTAATTCAAATGTTCAAAATGATTTTTAATGCAAAATTCATTTGATGTGCATACTAAAATAATTTTGATGTAAGAGATTAAATGATAACGCATGAATGCATGAATAATTCACATGAATGCATTGAACAGAAAAAATAAAAATTAAACTAATTCATTTAATGATTAAGATATTAGAGCATGAAATGCACAAACAAATTACTTAGACATACATGTTTTAAACATATAACACGTTTAGTCATTTGAATAAATACAACCATGTACGCACAAAAAGAAATAAAGGAGGGTTGGAACCACTACGCTAAAAAAGACCTACGAAAGCGCTTTTTTTGGCCTTTAAAAGCGCTTTCTAAGGTGGCGCTGCTATAGGTTTTAGCAGCGCTTTTTGTTTAATGAAAAGCGCTTTCGTAGGTCTACTTATGACAGCGCTTTTTCTAAAAAGCGCTCTCTTAAGTATCCTTATGGCAGCGCTTTTTCTAAAAAGCGCTCTCTTAAGTAGGCTTTTGGAAGCGCTTTTTCTAAAAAGCGCTCTCTTAAGTAGGCTTTTGGCAGCGCTTTTTCTAAAAAGCGCTCTCTTAAGTAGGCTTTTGGCAGCGCTTTTTCTAAAAAGTGCTCTCTTAAGTAGGCTTTTGGCAGCGCTTTTTTATGAAGAAGCGCTTTCATTGGTGGCGCTTTTTTCTGGAAAAGAGCTTTCATAGGTTGTCTTTTAGCAGCGCTTTTTCTTGGAAAAGCGCTGTCATATGTTTACCTTAGACAGCGCTTTATGTGAAAAAGCGTTGTCATAGGTCTACCTATGAAAGCGTTTATCTCCAAAAAGCGCTTTCATAGGGTGTTTTTTTTAGAGGTATAATTTATATAATTCATATACCTGCATTGTTTGCAGCATATTATTTATATAAACCAGTTGCCATAACCTGTAATTCATAAACAGCGGTAATGCATTGTAATCCAAAATATATATACACCATTTTTGTACCTCAAATTATATATAAACCATTGTTATCAGCATTGTAACTCAAAATCAGTCTTACAAAATCAACCCTAACAACAACTAAACCAGTCCTTATATGATTCTCTGCTCAATAAAATATTGACACAACTCCTCTTTGGTTTCTTCCAATTGAAGTTTCGTGTAATATGCACATTTGTACTCATCGAAGTACTACATAACAAAACATAATATGCATGATTTAGTTAAAAGTAAAAAATTATATGAAATATCCGAGAAATAATAAAACAAATCCTAAGTTATAAATCCATACCGTGACTGGAATCTCTATTTGATTCAGTTGAATGATTTCTTTGATAAACCGCATAACGAAGTATCTGCAATCTATACTGTTTTGCTGTTGAGGACACTACATAGAAAAACAAATAAGAATACAAAGTTGTATTATTTTATCAAATAGCGTAAATATTATAAGCAAAATAGTGGAAATTAATATACCTGCACTTTGATCCAATTAATGTTGTTTGATTTAGACCGTCGTACCCGAGCTTCTCTTTGACACCAGAATACTTGTATCGCTCTAACAAAATAAAAATATATATTTAGAACAATGTCACAGAAATAATTAAATACATAAATACACACAAATATTTAGAATAATCTCACTTACGTATCAATCATTAACTTCATATCCGGATAATTTGTCCAATCACCGTCAACCGAATTCAGATAATAGACCACTTCTTAAAACAACAGTTTAGAAGAAATTTTTCTACGCAAAAATTACAAATATTAAAATGAACTTAGAATGAAAATCTAACCCTGTAGGAATAGTATTATACGTCCAAAGATATAAGCTTTATGTACTTCCGGTTGCCATGAATCTTTCTACTAAGTGCTCTCTTACTGATTCCGGTTCCCTACCAATTGTCGCTCCGCTGACACGGGAGGAAGACACGAAATGGAATCTGTTTGACCATTGATTCCCGCGCATTAATTTGTCATATAACAGCCTTAAATAAAAACATAATTAATATTAGAGTATATTCATTGAAATGTTTTAAAAAGATTTCAGCTAATTACATAATATAAAGATGGGGTTACCGAATGTATGCGTGCATAATACTGACGCCCAATTCTTTATGACGGAAAATATGTTCCACGTCCTCATGTCCAATTATTTCAGTTCAAGGAAAACCAAAGATACCTTGATCCATATCCATTTGACGAATACCACCATCCATCAAATCTGTTGTTCCCACTATTGTTTCAAGACACTGCCGGTATCGAGGGAAAAATCTAGTAGGCACCCTTTTCTTGGGTGGTACGCCAACGATTTTATGGCTCACTTGTTGTGACCCATGAAAAGGTACCTAAAAATCATATAAACTCAATTAAATTATAAAATTATGCAGTTTTTGATTCGGATCATATAATTAACACTTTAAACGTACCTCTTTTGGTGATACGTCAGACTCGTCGTGCCGCAAAATCCCTTTACCCTTAGATGCGGGTGTTGTAGGAGTCTATAATTACCGTGGAAATAACTGAGGTCAGAACTGACAGTTGAAGACTTAAAGATTCATAATTGTTTTCAACATACCTGATCATCTATGAAAATAAGGTCCGATGGCCATGCAACAAAAGATCATATTGCATCTCGCAGCAATGTGGTCTCATCAACAATGTCAGGTACCGGCAGCAACGCATCCATATCTAAAGCAATGTCAACCGATACTTTCATGTGTCCATCCGGAAGCAGTCTATTATGAAGTAAATCTCCCAAAGTGTTATGGACTTTTCCCTTGCCAACTAGTCGATAAGTCGGCGACGATAGGTATAGCTGGCAAGATGAAATGCCCTAAACCAATAATAACCATTAGAAGTGACTAAAAATATTCTATAATAATAACGGATATATATTGAAAATTACCTCGGGAAATTTATGCTGACAGTTGATACTAGCTTTGTCACTAGTTTCTTTCAATTGTGAACTGCTCTTTTCCACCATATATCTCTCTTTATCCTTCTGCAATTCACGGACTTGAGCTTGTAAATCCTGCAATGTTTGCATCACTTCTGCATTGCTAGGATTTCTTCTCCTTGGATGCTTATACAAAGAGGTTGGAGTCACACCATGACATTTACCCCTCACCCGACCCGGATACTCAGCAATATTTAGTGCTCGACTAAGTACGCTCCTGGTATCCTGATGATCCTCACCTGGGGATACCGATTGCGACAAGGTCTCCTGTAATTCATTTACATATAAAAAATTATTAGTGGAGATAAAAAATTATTTAAATATTAATAAACATTAATTGATTTAACTAAAGACACAATCTTATACTTACACATTCATCATACACATGTTGAATATTGGGATTAACAGCTTGATCCTTGCCCACACGGGCTTCCTTCCACAACAAATGTGTCGGTAGTGATGTTGCGTCACTTTTCATCTCTTCTAACTACGCAATGACAGAAGTCTTAAGATCATCAACTATAACACATTGAGAGAATTAATAAGATCGTAGAGTTTATATTTACTTACAATTTTTTCCTCTAAGAGAGCATATCCCAAACGCCCTTTTTTGTATGGATATGCGGGTTTTGACGCTCTCTCGCGATTGATAGCACTCACTTTCTTGAAATTCTCGTCTCTTCTTTGGCCTATAAAACCAACCCATTCTTCAGGTGTAATGAAGTTCTCATATTTCTTTGGACG